GGAGGGCGCCCCGTTGCTCGCGCGCTTTCCTTGTTCCCTTGCCCCAGCCTCCGAACTGCCAGCTTGCAGTTAAGGCAGCACCAATGAGAAAGGTACCAGACTTAATGGGGTTCGACTGTAAATGTTCCATTGTTTTGTTTTCCTGTTAGCTGGCTGGCTATCCTCATTCTTCTTGCCTACATGGCGATGGTGATTGTAATTCTCCTTAACATTCTGATCGCCCAGCTGAGCTACACTTACAGTGAAGCGAAGAAGACTGCCAAACTGCAATACGCCATTGATACCATGTTTATTGTCACTCGACTGGAGTACAGCAGAATTGCAAGATGGGTACGTACGGGGAGGGGGTGGGGGATATAACTGCTTTTACTCGGGACAGGGGCTCGTTTCTCGAAAGCCCCGGAAACGTTTCGGGCCCGCAAAGCCATTTTTAGCCAATCTGTCTCTAAAAACAGAGAGGTGTACACGCGTAAAACTTCTTGTATGAAGGGAACTCCTGGTCGTATTAAGAATAGGTAAATAAAACAGTTCTGTAATTATAAGGTTTCAGATTTTACTACGGCTTTCCGGGTGCGAAAACGTTTCGGGACCTTCGAGAAACCGGCCCCTGTACATGACTGAAACGGGCCCCTGTGCATGACTGGAACGGGCCCCTGTACGTGACTGGAACGGGCCTCTGTACATGACTGGAACGGGCCTCGTTACATGACTGGGGCATTGTTGAACCATAGCTGGAGTAGCTGCAAAGTGGCTTGAGTTTAGTTTGCACATGGTTGGCGCATGTTTGTGGACTATGATTTGAAAATGGCTGCATTAGTTGAATCATGACCGAGTCATGACTGGCACATGGGCGGAGTTTTATTTGGGCGTGGACATGTTTTTGTGCGGTCATTTTAGTACCTTAGGAGGGTGTTTTCTTTGTTCTCTTGTGGTAGATTTCTTCCTCAACACCCCACATTTCCCAATTTTATTTGTTGTTTTACCTTTTTCCCTTTGTTTTCAGAATTTAAGGGTCAAGAATTACTCGGATGGTGACTGGGTCAGCGAGGACGATTTAGCTAAAGGTATCAATACTAAATGCAAGAAAATACTAGAAAACGTCAAATTTTGATCTCTAGCTCGTAGTGGCGTCAGTTCTTTCTGTTTTTACTGACGAATAATTTGTTTACGCAGTTAATGCTCACACTCGCGATGTTTGACGGGATGTGTTGTTATTTACAGAAATGTTAGAATACACTGATGACAGACACCCCTGGGAGACAATGGAAGACAGACTTACGGATATCAGGTGATTCCAGGTTTTTGGCAGATCAATACGTTTTAGTGTATTTGTAATACATTAAAGTTTGTGTTTTTGTTTCTACAATGATTTGCTTCTTGTTTACTGTTTTTCTATGCTAGGGAGATTATGAGAAAAGTGGTCAGAAGAGGAAAAGATAAGGGACCCTGGGACTCAGTGGATGAGAAATTGACTCGTTTAACGTGAGTAAATATGGTACCCAGCTTTCCTTATCCCTATTAAGTTTGGCCGAAAGATAAAAGAGACATCTAGGGCCATAACATTTTGTTTAAACCCAGTACTTTATCCCACATACCCATCTTTGCGAGAAACATGTGATCCAGTTAGCATTTAGATTCTCTGGTGCATTGAAAATGTTTTTTGGGCTTCCTGAATAAACTATAGCGAAATTATTATTGTGCTTCCTTTCCTTTGTAGAACTATTATTGAGAAACTTCCTGAATCCAAAGCCGATACGCAGTAAATGAACCACGTCCCATAATGCACCAAGAACGTCTTGTTGGAGTGACGTCATGTCCTGGTGAAGTTCGTATCCAGTCTTTTTGCTGTTTCCGGCCAAAGCAATGAGCAACCTCAGCTTAGTTCAAAAAAGCAAGGTCGTGATATATGAAGTAGCTTTACAGTGTACAGATTTCTTTTAAATCGAAGCGATGGTAGATAAACACTTTAAAAAGTAACAGCTGGGGATTGAAAAGGAGCTTGGACGGTTTAAGACTGGGTGCAATTGAGACGGTTTACATTGACAAGCGTGCAAAATGTAGGATGTATTATGATGTAAGCGTAAGATGTTGGCACTGCAGCCAGTGTCTTGCACTGGTCTTACAGCATTCGTACCCGGAGTCTTCGTTCCCCTTAACCAGCGGTCGGTAAGCGCTCTGTTTAAAAGTCCGAAAATATCGGACTTCTGGTTTAATTGCGCATGCATAGCTGACAAACACGCAAACACGTGGCTCGAGTCGAGTCGTTGACGCATTATTTCCGCTCATGTCCATTGTCTTTAACACCATGAATCCAAATCAAGCCTGCAACGGAACTCAGACCTTCGCTGTCGAGAGTAGAGTTGATTGCGCTTTCTCTAATTCTGGGGAGGCACTTGTTCTTATGGACCACTCGTCCCAACCCTCTACCTTCAATTCTGGAGTTAATAAATATAAGCTTAACGCATTACGGCTATGCGACAAGGATATAAACATCGACATCAACAGCGAGTTTTTCGGAAATAATGTTGAAACAAGTTTCTTATTTCATTTTATTATGTAACGAACATGTGAATTTATTTAATCCCAAGTATTTCGAATGGTTTTTATTTTTACCTATGTTATCCACATTATATTTCAGTCAGGATTTTCAAGTAGGTAAGAGGAATTTTCCCCTATAATGCATAAGGAAATTGGTCGTAAATAAAATGATAAATTCTCCCAACTGGTACCATAAGAATTGTATAAGACCAGTAACGGTAAAGAGAATTTGCATGTTGACAGAAAGAGGAAATAATAAGGCATATCCATTGCACATGAATTTTTTTAGTTGTAAAATAATGTCTGCTCTTGCATATGTGATAGCGATATGAAATAAACGTAAATATGGTCAAAACATGGCAAACGGATGATATTTACAGAACGCTTGTGTGAGGCACGATAGCTAATTAGCTAATATCACACAGCTAGTGACTGTGGCATCGGTTAGCCAGAACCGCCCTTACCCCTCCACCCCTCCAACTCCACTCCCGTGCGTTCTCGAAGACTCGTGCACTCTATTGGATTCGAGCCATGTCACATTTTTCTCGACACAGCCGAGCACCTTTTCTCTTATTTGGCCCACACTTGTTGTGAAGTTAAGGAAACTCTTGTGCAACTCTCAACTCTAGATCTGATTGTCTTTCATTGTTCGACCCAGTCTTGAAACATCGGAAAGTTACGATATTCCTGGGCGCTTCTTGAACTATCGAAAACACGAGCCAATGAATAGCACCCAAAACATTAATCTTCTACTGAAGCACTGGAAGGTAAATGTCACACCAGTCTTGATAACTATAATTAACATGAAGTACACACATCGGAGACATTTGGGAAGACCTCTTCACCCCAATCCCGGGGAAGGTACCCAACAAAGTTTTATACGGGGAGGCCTCCGCCCTGAGGTCCGAAGCGATAGGAAATGGTGTTTTTTTTTTTTTCTTTTTTTGTATACCCCCAGTAAAGCGCTTTTACCTACTCTAAAAAGTCCAACAGAAGTTTTTACAGAACTAGTCCACCAGGGAATTTAATTTCTATCCTAAATTTTGAAAACTTTCGCGGGAGGATAAGGTGGGAATGTATACGAGAGACCTCATATGCCCCACCCACCCCTCTCACCTGAAACTTTCACCCATCTTATAACTGTAAACAGGAAAGAATCGAACGCGCCACTTCTTTCACGTGTATTCACATACTGGGGCACGTGTTTACCATACTGTCTTAGCTGATTGCTGATGCCAGTTTTTTGACACATAAAAAAAGATGGCGCAACATTCAGACTCGAAAGGAACCAAGAGATAGATTTATCACGTGCACATGGCGAAAAAATGTCTTTGACCTGTCGACCTTTCTATTATTTATTTACTCCACATATTTTTGTATTATATTTTTGTTGGATGACCACTCAAGGTCATTTTAATCAACACTGTTCGTTTGTGCATGTACTGGTAAATACGTATTTTTCAATGAATTGTCCTGCTTGTCAGCCCGACCAGCCAGTCAGATAATAGCCGTATCAATTATCGGAACGTTATCTCGGCAGATCAAGGAAACAGTAATTCAGTCAGTTGTGACTCCCATGCCCACAAGGTCAACATCTCGTTTTCTCTTTCCTGATGATTTCGACATTCAAGATGATTTCTGCGTGTCTGATCTTATTTGTGTTTTCGTTTAGTACTTCACAAGGTAAGTGTTACAAATTTGAGCTGTGAATCTTTTGTACTATATATTTATGCCTACTGTTCAAAATATCTACCAAAAGCGTTGGCTTGCAAGTTCATTTCTATTAGTAAGCAATTTTCCCTATTAACGTACAAGCTGATGCCCTGCTCAGCTGGGTGTTAGATGACTAAAAAATATATTCTACAGTCAGCACATGTGTATTCAAATTTGGGAACATATTGAATAGACCTGATCGTAAAACCTTACAAATATGAATGTACTTTTCCATGGGTGTGGCTTTCAAACGTCTTTGGAGGTAATTTCAGGCGATAGGCCTGAAACATGTTAAAGAAAAGCTCTTTGACTGGGAAAGTGTGCGTTGGTTAGGATAACAATTGATTGTGAAACCGAGACCCGATATTCGAAATAATTTTTCAATTTAACTGACATAATAGTATGGAAAAATGGCCGTGTACTTTCGACAGAATTTTAAAGAACTGTACATATCATAACACCCCGGATAAATCTTGTGCTAGAGAAATTATATTTAAGATCAATTTTTGCTCTTGAATTGTACGACGAAAGGTACTCGGCCAGACAAGTGAAAGCTAAGAATTTCTTGAACGTTTTTGATCTTCGAAAAACGATGTAGTCTCAAAACAACCAAAGATTTTGTTTTAGCATCGAAGGAAACCAGCATCTTACGCGGCTGTAGCAACACTGTCATCTTCCGCTCGCTGTCAGACTTCCTTCAACTGTCGTCAACTTCAGTTCCTTGAACGCTGATTTGCTTCGTATTTTTTTCCGTGCCCTTGCCAAAAATAGGAATTGGAAAACACTACAACTTCCTGTTATCAGGTTAATTAACCGAAGCGACCTCATACTATTTCTGTTTTGCGTACTGCTTTCCTTTACAAGAGTTATCTGAGATGAAAACATTTTTGTTTCTGGAATAATGATCATAATATTTGAACTGTACTGTCGCCGCTACAAACACATTGGTACATGTTGACATGTTACGAAATTTCTCATGGTTTATGATCCTAATTTCATAAACAGTTCAACGAGAGACTTCGACAGAAATCGAATTAGATAATCAGAGATATGGACAGCCATTGACTCAAAGAAGTCTAGTGTAAAGAAAGGTAAAATAAACATGAAGATTTCAGTTTCGTTGAAATCTCCAAACCGCATTAAAGTGGGTATGTAGGGGATCTGTCTGGGGGTTGGGTCACGCGCAGCCAATCAGAGAACGCCATGACTGAGCCGCGGGTGGCGGATACTTGACTTTTTAGCAGTGTTAGTGATTTAGTAAAGGCACGAAGTTTTTTAAAACCCTTTAGTGCATTAGAATTTGTTTTCTCGGGGCCAGCTTTTTTCTGCTGACACATATGTATGATTTTATGTTGGTATAAATCTGCTTGCAGGAAATGTATTTTTTAAATCGCCCAACCTCTCCCTCAAAAATCAAAGGTTCCACCCGGCACCGCTAAAGGGACCTGCTTTTGTCAGCTTTCTTCATTTGCAGACGATCTTTAATGAAATTTAACTTCCTTTAGATATAATCGAAGTACAAACTTTTCTGAAAGTTTTTTTCTTTGCTTCAAAACAAAATTCAACGTTATTTCAGCGTGTCTGCCGGGGTGTTTTTCGTTTATTGGATGTAATTGTATTCGGGGAAAAAGTAGCGCTGGGAATCGAGAATGAAGGAGAGGAGAGAAGCCTCAATTTTGCCAGACATTTGGTATGCTTCCAAACAAACATTGGTTAACGGTATTGCAACTGAAAATAATTTCTCGGGCCATTTTATAGTTTCCGTGTTGGAAATAGATTAACATTGCCAATATTGCAACCTAAAACAGTGGGGTGTGTCTGGAGGTGGGGCACATGATACCCGCATGCGCGCACCGCACGTGCGTCGGCAACGTTATTTTTAAGGACGGACCTTTTTTCAGGGGGGAGGGCTGGCCAATTTTCTGGAGCATGAAGTGTTTTTCGTGAGCAATACTCATGTGCTGCGCAATAATTTTTTTTCAATCAGACACAGGAGTTCAGCTCATGGGTTAGTTGAAAGCACTTGCTTGATTTTTTTTCGCCCGTGGCTCCCCTTGCGCTATTTTTTTTTTTTTTTTTTTAGCTGTTTTTGTTGTGCAGGATTATTTTTCGGAAATTGCCAAGACCCCTCCCTCTCAAAAAAATTAGTGGTCCGTCCCTTTGATCGATGTTATGAAAGATGAAGGATACATTGAAATCCTATATTACTGGAACATCAAACCGTTGTATGTTTTCACTGAAGTTGTAAAAGACAACCCTTAGCTGCGATTGCTTTAAATCTCTTGTCTGGGCAAATATAAAGGTTATTTTCTTTGGTCACACCAGTGATAATGGAGCAATTGTGGAATTAAAGCTTGCTTCATGCAGAGCACCATGAGACTATCAATTACACAGGTGTTGTGATCCTCTGCTTTTCAGTTTATTAGTAAAATGTGATTTAAGTTTAACAGAAAAATACGCAGAAACAGGTTTAAAGGTTAATACCGCTTATAAATGTTTTTTTTGTTTTTTTTAAATTCGAACAAATTAAGCAAGGAGTGCGATTTTTGCCAAATTTTGTTCAGTATAACATCTAAAGTTAACGTATAAAATTCATCTCTTATGAACAGACAATAGAAGTCTGGCCTTTAGCTAAAACATTAATAGTTATTTGGGGCGTTCTGTTTTTCACCTTGTAATTTTTCTTTACATCCTTTTACAAAACTAGGTTGTGTGACTGCTTAATATGTTTTTGCTTTGTTTTGTTTTGAATATCATCTTGTGACAAGATGATAAATGAGAAAGGATTTCACTATTGAAATTTGAGGCATGACGAAATTGTTGTGAAACACATAGTGTATACGTCTGTAAATATTACTACAGGCACTTTCACTGACAGTGAAAAATTCAGGGTCGGCACGTAACGGAAATTTTGGAACGGGAGCGAATGGCACGGAAATCGGTCTTTTAGGGTAAATTTCGATGCTACTGGATAACAATATGCAATTTTATGATAGCTTCGATGCGTGAAATTGCTTATTTTCCACTAGTAGCTAACTTTGTATTTTATATGTTATTGTTTTTTTCTTTTCACAGCCACGAAAGTTTGCTATGGTAAATATGGCTGCTTCTCCGACGATCCACCTTTTGACAACTCGCTGATCGCTCTTCCATCAGACCCCGTCACGATTGGCACAAAGTTTGTGCTATATACCAGAGCCAACGCCCTACAGAAAGAAGAAATCCTGGATACTGACAAGAACGCGTCAATAACAAACTCTACATTTGACCCATTACTTAAAGTAAAGTTTATTGTTCACGGTTTTACTCAGAACGGTCAGACTGCCTGGGTTAAAGAAATGGCTCTGGAACTGCTGAAAAAGGAGAAGATGAACGTGATCGTGGTGGATTGGGCACTAGGGTCCAGTGTTCTGAACCTGTACGACGTCGCGGCCGGGAACACGCGTCTTGTGGGGGCCCAAGTGGCTGATTTGATTGACGTGTTGAATAGGAAGTTTCACGCGGCGTTAAAGAGGTTTCATATCATCGGACACAGTCTAGGTGCACACGTTGCCGGTTTCGCTGGTGAAAAGCTGGTAAAAAGTGGCAAAATTATTGGACGAATTACAGGTACCACTTAAAATTCTTCCCCCCCCCCCCCTTTTTTTTTTTATAGGCATGAGTATTTAAGGATTGCCTTTGATGTTTAAAGGTAAAAACTAGCGATAAAAAAAGAACGACGTTTCGACCTCTCCGAGGTCATTTCTAAGTAAAAAAAGCGATTTAAATAAGTTTAAATTTTAAACCATGGTATGCCTTATCGTACCGGTACAGCAATTTGCAGAACACGGTTTACAATTTTCATAAATTGCATGGCTTCGCAAAAGTACAGGTTTTCAAAANCCCCCCCCCCCCCCTTTTTAAAAAATCAAACAGGTTTGATACATATCGTCTTTCCTTCTGCGTAGATGTTAACCAGAACTCAAATATTTGTTCTTTTTTTACCTTAACAGGCCTAGATCCTGCGAGGCCTGGGTTTGATTTTGAACACGCGGCTGCTAGATTGGATCCAAGTGATGCAATGTTTGTTGACGTTATCCACAGTGACGTCAGGAATGGCCCCATCGATAGCTCTCTGGGACTCCAGCGGCCTTGTGGTCACGTGGATTTCTATCCCAATGGCGGGAAACACCAGCCTGGCTGCGGAACATCAGACGTGGTAGAAGGTGCCATTACTGGATTTTTAACTCGGTTACCAGGACGTTTTTATGACCTTATTCTGTGCCAGGGTTCGAGGCAGTAGATACTTATTTAACCTTTCTAGTAGAGAGGTTTTCATATCGAGTGTGATGAACCAAAACCAGTTACTGACCAATTAAACTACTCAGCGAATCTCAAACCGAAGTAAAACCAAAACCAAAACAAAAGTAATTGCCTTACTTTCGACACTCAATTGAAAACCGCTCTGCATTCCGCATCCATACCAACATTCTTATCAAAGACTTACAGTCTGCCAGCCATTCACTATCTGGCGAGAGGAGTGGGAAGAAGTCACGAAAATATAAGCCCGCACTAACTGATGGGCCCTTGGCAAGTTAGTTTGGTGTGACTTTTCGAGTCATAAAAGAACAAGAGTTCTAGGTTTACCTTTTCGTCTCATTTTCACTATTTCCTGTAACTTTCTTTTAGGTGCTGTAGATTCCTTCTTGGACAATGCTCAAGTCTCGCTTCCATTGATATTCGCCTGCGATCACATGAAGTCAGTTGCTTATTTTACATCCTCCATCAATAGCCCATGCGCAATGAAAGCTTTCCCTTGTGACAACTGGAAGGATTTCCAAGAAGGGAAGTGTTTCTCTTGTGATGGCGCATGTCCTCTAATGGGATATAACGCTGACCAGCACCGCGCGAACAAGCGTGTTTTAGCCTTTTTGAAAACAGTGGAGGACAAGCCGTTTTGTGGTATGTAGGTTGCAAAATAATATAGGGAATGTAGATTACGTGCACCATAAGTCGAGTCCATCTGTACGTGCATGCACATATTGAAACTGACTTTTTGGCGCCAATTTTTGTAGTAAGTTGCGTCTCATCTGTTTTAAAACTATCAATTTTGTCAAGGGAAGCCTAGGGAACCTACGAGCAAAATTAAGTGATCATTTCTCATTGCAATACGTGCAGCTTAATGGAGAAATCTCTGTCCTAAAGTATCCGCCCCTGCATTTCTTTACTGATTTAGTTATTAGTGGTTACAAGTGCGCTCAAACTCATAAGTGATTACAAACTCACTTTCGTTATTGTTTTTTTTTTTTCCTTTAGCCAGTGATAACTATTACCGCCTCACTCTGCATTCAAGAGATGGATCAGGGCTCTTCTCGTTCTTTAGTATAGTTTTAAACAACAAAATCAAAATTACACTGACTGGGAGCAAAGGACAAGTACAAACTGATGACGTCAGGTGATAAATATTTATTATTTTTCGAGACATGTCCTAGCTTAAGGAAAGTGAATGATATTTTAATCCGTATCACCATAGTTCGCCGCTTTAAATCGAGAAGAAACTTGGGAGTCACCTTGTCGCAGTGGCTTGTGGGACCATTGACTGCCAACGAAACGAAAGACGAGAATCTTGGTGCCCAGTAACGATCCCACAAGCGACTGCGAGATGAGTGGCGAATGGAGATAGGCTCAAATACCATCCGCTGTTCTGGAAAGGAGCTAGGGTCCTATTAGGGTCCTATTAATCGAGCCTAGAATAGAGAGGGAACTCATAGAGGAACATAAATTCCTAGAAATGTAACGGTGATTTTCACTCACGCCCAGTATTAAGATTCATTCTAATTATTCTTTCCTTTCAGAGATGTCAAATATGGAAAAGAAAGTTTCGTTCTATCATCTGCTCGTGATGTTGGGCAACTGCAGTCCATCAAGGTACAATTCAAAGGCTCGGGATTTTTCTTGAAGAAGGTCGTTATATACTCCAAAATAGAAAACAAGAGGTAACAACAATATTACTCAGTATATATATAATGGTTTAGTCTCTTATGTTTTAGATTTCCTAGCAACCTAGCGCCATTTGTGAATCAACCCAGTCATGTTGAATAATTGTCTTGCTAAGAGCAGTTTTCTCAAATGTCGAAAGGAAATTGGTTTTCATTACTACGCTACATGATTGGCTTAAAAAACTCGCGCCACTTTTTTATCCAATCAGAAGTAAAGCCAAATGAAACCAATCATCACTCGTTCGCTCACGTTCTCCCGCGTTTCCCGTCAGCTACATGCAATTACTCCGAGCTTTGATTGGTTCACTGGATCGTCTGCGGTCTTTGTGATTGACTAGAGTGATTACTTTGGTTTTGGTTTTACGACACTCGATTGAAAACTGCTCTTTTTGAAAGAAAATGGGCTCAATAAAATCATACAAATTGAAGGTTTTGCCTTAGATAATGCTTGCAAGCTCGCAAACGTGGTTATTACCTAATGTACTCTGCTCTACCTTCTTCCAGATACACAGCGTGTTTTCAGCAGCATATGGAAAACTACTTGTTATATCTGAAGTTCGCGTCCTACACCCGGAACCTTGTAAAGGGAAAACACCATTGCTGAAACGTTAAGGNTGTTCTTCATTGCTTGTCCTTTTAGAAGACTTTCTTCTATCAAACTTCTGGGTATCTTTATGTAGTGAGATTAAGCAATACGTTCTATGCTCAACCCCAATCCTCGAAGAGCTATTGTTTTGGTTACCTGTCCACTACTTGTTTTCACTACTTGTTTTCAACTAGAAAAGACATTAGCAAACGGGAGATTTTTGCTGTTTGTACGACACAGAAAACGGGATGCTTTGTCTCAGCAAGTTATTATATCTCATCCCTTAAGGCATGGGATTTTGACATAAGAAATGTGGGTCTGACCGCGCAGAAAATGAGAACAACTATTGGCCGACAATTTGGACTTTTTCCAAAAAATGGCTGTTTAAAATTAAAACTGAACTGTTACAAAATTTAATCCAGACCTAAATATCCAGACTGAGAAATAAATTATTTACAACAAAACACTATTTTCCAGGTGATAAAGATGTTCAATCCATGCAAAAAATTTGATTATCTTTTTTTCTGGCAATAAAAGGCCCGTGTTCTGAAAAGTTTCAATCCGATTTTTCGGACACTTTTCGCATCACTTTCCTCATCAAGTCCCTGAAAACGAACAAAAAGAACAAATATCAAACACTCAGGATTGCACGGTGTTTAAAAAAAATCACTTTTCCTGTAATGAGTAACCTTCAACTTACCCCAAAAACGTACCATTCGGGCCTTACACACACAAACGCTGCCAGCTGCAGCTATTTAACTCTGTACGCGTTTTAAGATGAGTGCTAAATTATTACAACTTTTTTTTCCGTATGTTTGGCTCAATTCCCCTTAGGAGAATTTCTCGATACATCGAGCCTTTTTCACTTCAAGCGATCAGAAGCGTTATTCTTATGACTCTCCTTCTTGACTGTCCCGTAGTATAGTAAAGAGAATTTCAGATCTGATCAATGCAACGGATGAATGATGTACCTGATGAGTGTCAGTTTGTCCTCCATTGATTCCCACGGATTCCTCTCTTCACTGTACTCCAGCATCTCTGAATAACAAAGCATAAAATAAAATACAAATGATCTCGAGTGAATCAACCAATCGATCAATATAGCGATTGATCGATTGATTAAACATTCAACCAATCGATGTATCGATAATCTATTTATTTCACCACACAATATAAGAAACCAAGAAACGAAATATTTGAAAACAGTAAACTTGAAAACTAGGAAGTATTAAGAAAGCCTCAAGAAAAACCATGGCTTATAAACTATTGTTTAGTTAAACCATATACTTTAAAACTTGTTTAACATGTTGGTGTGAACTGAGTATTAAACATCGAAACATAGCCAGGTCATAGGAAAACAAAACAATAACGTTTGATCTTAATACAATACTCGACAATCGAAAAAACGCATTGGAAAAGGAGGATGACAAACGATATAGAGGTTGGAATTAGCCTGCAAAATGGAAAAACTTATAAACGTCTGAGGCTCCTGGTTTTAAGCTTGGCTTGGACGTTTTTTTTTTACTCTTTTCATCCTCATCAATGGCTGGTGAAGACAATTAGACAACAAACACAACCCACCTTTGGCCAGTTCTGTTTCGCTGACTCTATCGCCCACTTTGTAGTATTTGACTCTTAAATTCTGAAAGATATATCAGAGCGCTTCATTACTGATAACCCCATACAAAGATAACATAACTGCCCGTCACGCAATCTTGATAAAGAGTAACAATCACAGGCCAATCAAACAGGCTTGCGAAGCTCGAGCACATTATGTTGAACAATAAGAATTCTACAATCACTTTTGTAACAGTTTTACCCAGATATGCCCGCCAACATACACTGCACTCAAAAAACGTTTTCTGCTTACTTACTCTTAGAAAATGCGCTACGTTCTACTAAATTTTGGACCACCAAGGAAACTAATTAAAATGATTTTTTGCAGTGAATGGGGGCAGCGCTGCCCTGCAACTAGCCTGCAGTACAGGCGGATTAGCGGGCTCTAGCGCGATACACGAGCGCGCGCGCGAAGCGTGAGAACGAGCGCGAGAAGCGTGAGAAGCGTGAGAACGAGCGCCTCGCGCTTCGCGCGCGCTCGTGTACCGCGCTATAGCCCGCTAATCCGCCTGTTCTGCAGGCTACCCCGCAACCGCCGAGAGGCCCACAGGTGGATGGTGAGAGGGGTAGAAATATTTCTAGTACAGAAACTGGAGATAAGCGCCGTTCTTATGGGCCACTAGGTTCGTATGCAGACTATATCGACTAGTTTGAAAATATATAAAAAATACGTGATAACAACACTTACGAATCTAGCGAATCTGCTGTGTTCCAGGCGCGTGACAATCCGCATTCGATCAATAGCGTACTGTAGCTTTGCGTTACTCTTGGCTTCACTGTACGTGTAGCTCAGCTGAGCGATCAGAACATTAAGAAGAATAACTATAACCATTGCCATGTAGGCTAAGAGAATCAGGATAGCCAGCCAGCTAACAGGAAACAAAGGAAAGAAAAACATTCAGTAAATTACAAAATAATCGACAGAGACATGTTTAAGTTAGATATGACAAAACGGATAAAAAGAAAAGCCGNTGTCATAAAAATTTTGGGCATATTTAAAGACAGTGAGAAGAAAGTCAATGAACGTGTAAAACGCTGACAGTTTAATAAAGTAATAATTTTAACTCGTCAACTCTCCAGCAACAATTCTTGTTTTTGTTTTATTCAGCCCAGTCTGAAAACAAACTAAATTATTTTGAAAAAAATATTTCAAATGATAGAAAATACAAAAAATCACGAACACCAGAGAGAAACAAAACAATAACGAAGGTCTAAATTGAGCGAGATAGAGAAGGATTTTCACTTCGTTTTACTTGATTCAAGTCTGACCGCTGGAAAGCAAGCTCAACAGTTTAGTTGATACGACAATGTGGTCGATAAAACTACCAGACTTTATATCATGAAGAGCATTTAAAAGTACAAAGGGCATCACTGGTATAAGATGGACAAGACTGCAAGAAGTAGCGAGAACTTTAACAAGGAGAAACTCTTACGTGAATAAGTCTTGTGAGCCAGTAGCCTTCAGCGCCATAAACATGGCGCCACAGAATCCAATAAAGACGACAAGAAACACCACACTAAAGCGAGTCACGTCCCGGTAGATGATCTTGGCCAGAGTCTTGGTGTACAGACCTGTGGTTCTAAGGGTAAAATATGAAAAAAAAAAAAACTAAATGATTAAGTACAAATATGTCCGTACACAGACCGGCCAAAGCAAATAATTATTTTTTCCTTTCTCTTTCAGATCACTTTTATAATTGTTGACCTTTTCACACACACATCGCGCGCGCGTTACCATGACCGTGGTCAGAGATAGGAAAATCCGTACTGCGCTAAAAACCAATCAAATTGCAGGATTCGTTACCGTGCCGCCTTTTTGAAAAAAAAAAATAATGTTAAGTATCAAATAGTTACGTCATTACACATTTTCGCGACAACTTAATTTCGCATTTAGCGACACTCCATTTTCGCCGCTTCGTTTTTTGGAACGTTTTTTTT